TACCCGCTACTCTAAACCTCCTTACCCACTACTCTAAACCTCCTTACCCACTACTCTAAACCTCCTTACCCACTACTGTAAACCTCCTTACCCACTACTGTAAACCTCCTTACCCACTACTGTAAACCTGCTGTCGCCATTGAACGAAATGATGGCGTGCTAAGATGTCGTATCGAGGGCTAATGACAGCACTCGACTAGTTTGGATGCCATTTGGGTTAATTAACCTCATTAACGTCTGTAGAGCAGACGTCGATTTTTATTTTTACCTGACGATTTTTAATCACAACAAACAAACAAACAAACAAACAAGCAGACAAACAAAACGACTTGCAACATCATTATACAAGACTGTCTTCAATTGTTTTTTACACAAAATAAAAGTGACTTTGTTTTAAAGGATTAGGAAACTGTATTCTATTTTCTACGTGTAATGTGACTTCGTTTTAAAGGATTAGGAAACTGTATTCTATTTTCTACGTGTAATACACGAAGTTGCAGATCGCTATAGCTGGGAATAGCCATATTCTCAGCCGTTCCGACTAGGCCCTGCCCTGGCCCTACAATTTACAACCTTATGTCCATCCCAGCCGTTCCGACTAGGCTCTGCCCTGACCCTACAATTCACAACTCTATGTCCATCCACTCCCTTATCCCAGTCTAGCTTTGTCTTCACAATTTACAGCCTGCTATTATGTTGTTCTCGGTAGACGTTTAAACCCACAGACCCCGGTGACGGGACCCACAGACCCGTGGACGGGACCCACAGACCATGTGACGGGACCCACAGACCATGTGACGGGACCCACAGACCCGTGGAGGGACCCACAGACCATGTGACGGGACCCACAGACCATGTGACGGGACCCACAGACCCGTGGAGGGACCCACAGACCATGTGACGGGACCCACAGACCATGTGACGGGACCCACAGACCATGTGACGGGACCCACAGACCATGTGACGGGACCCACAGACCATGTGACGGGACCCACAGACCATGTGACGGGACCCACAGACCATGTGACGGGACCCACAGACCATGTGACGGGACCCACAGACCATGTGACGGGACCCACAGACCATGTGACGGGACCCACAGACCATGTGACGGGACCCACAGACCATGTGACGGGACCCACAGACCCGGGGAGGGACCCACAGACCATGTGACGGGACCCACAGACCCGTAGACGGGACCCACAGACCATGTGACGGGACCCACAGACCATGTGACGGGACCCACAGACCATGTGACGGGACCCACAGACCTGTGGACGGGACCCGCAGACCCGGTGCCCCCCAAAAACATTGCTTTAGCCCTACCGCCTGCTGGGACAGTTTCCCTGGCAACGTTAATGCATTTTAGTCACGTGATAATCCCGTCTGTTAGAAGTGATACTAAGTCGTTCTTCGACATGGTACCAGCAGTCCGTACCGCTTGCTCACTAAACTTAAACACACACCCAGTTAAATAAATTTAACCACGACACCATTCGGCCAATCGTGTCACACAGCTTTATTTCTTACGTGATCGATCTAGTGATGTCACACAGCCAACAATATCGTGTCGCTACAGCTATATTCCTAGCCACCCAGCTCTAGATAAAGGGAAAGAACCGGGGTTGTGATAGCATGTCCTGTACACCACGAGTTACTCCTGCTGCTAAAAAATGGGATTTTAAATAGAGAGATGTCACCCGTGGTGATTCGATCAATATGACCAGGGGCGGAACTACAGTGCCGCCACTGAATATGACCAGGGGCGGAACTACAGTGCCGCCACTGAATATGACCAGGGGCGGAACTACAGTGCCACCACTGAATATGACCAGGGGCGGAACTACAGTGCCACCACTGAATATGACCAGGGGCGGAACTACAGTGCCACCACTGAATATGACCAGGGGCGGAACTACAGTGCCGCCACTGAATATGACCAGGGGCGGAACTACAGTGCCGCCACTGAATATGACCAGGGGCGGAACTACAGTGCCACCACTGAATATGACCAGGGGCGGAACTACAGTGCCACCACTGAATATGACCAGGGGCGGAACTACAGTGCCACCACTGAATATGACCAGGGGCGGAACTACAGTGCCGCCACTGAATATGACCAGGGGCGGAACTACAGTGCCGCCACTGAATATGACCAGGGGCGGAACTACAGTGCCGCCTCTGAATATGACCAGGGGCGGAACTACAGTGCCGCCACTGAATATGACCAGGGGCGGAACTACAGTGCCGCCACTGAATATGACCAGGGGCGGTACTACAGTGCCGCCACTGAATATGACCAGGGGCGGAACTACAGTGCCGCCACTGAATATGACCAGGGGCGGAACTACAGTGCCGCCACTGAATATGACCAGGGGCGGAACTACAGTGCCGCCACTGAATATGACCAGGGGCGGAACTACAGTGCCGCCACTGAATATGACCAGGGGCGGAACTACAGTGCCGCCACTGAATATGACCAGGGGCGGAACTACAGTGCCGCCACTGAATATGACCAGGGGCGGAACTACAGTGCCGCCACTGAATATGACCAGGGGCGGAACTACAGTGCCGCCAATGAATATGACCAGGGGCGGAACTACAGTGCCGCCACTGAATATGACCAGGGGCGGAACTACAGTGCCGCCACTGAATATGACCAGGGGCAGAACTACAGTGCCGCCACTGAATATGACCAGGGGCGGAACTACAGTGCCGCCACTGAATATGACCAGGGGCGGAACTACAGTGCCGCCACTGAATATGACCAGGGGCGGAACTACAGTGCCGCCACTGAATATGACCAGGGGCGGAACTACAGTGCCGCCACTGAATATGACCAGGGGCGGAACTACAGTGCCGCCACTGAATATGACCAGGGGCGGAACTACAGTGCCGCCACTGAATATGACCAGGGGCGGAACTACAGTGCCGCCACTGAATATGACCAGGGGCGGAACTACAGTGCCGCCACTGAATATGACCAGGGGCGGAACTACAGTGCCGCCACTGAATATGACCAGGGGCGGAACTACAGTGCCGCCACTGAATATGACCAGGGGCGGAACTACAGTGCCGCCACTGAATATGACCAGGGGCGGAACTACAGTGCCGCCACTGAATATGACCAGGGGCGGAACTACAGTGCCGCCACTGAATATGACCAGGGGCGGAACTACAGTGCCGCCACTGAATATGACCAGGGGCGGAACTACAGTGCCGCCACTGAATATGACCAGGGGCGGAACTACAGTGCCGCCACTGAATATGACCAGGGGCGGAACTACAGTGCCGCCACTGAATATGACCAGGGGCGGAACTACAGTGCCGCCACTGAATATGACCAGGGGCGGAACTACAGTGCCGCCACTGAATATGACCAGGGGCGGAACTACAGTGCCGCCACTGAATATGACCAGGGGCGGAACTACAGTGCCGCCACTGAATATGACCAGGGGCGGAACTACAGTGCCGCCACTGAATATGACCAGGGGCGGAACTACAGTGCCGCCACTGAATATGACCAGGGGCGGAACTACAGTGCCGCCACTGAATATGACCAGGGGCGGAACTACAGTGCCGCCACTGAATATGACCAGGGGCGGAACTACAGTGCCGCCACTGAATATGACCAGGGGCGGAACTACAGTGCCGCCACTGAATATGACCAGGGGCGGAACTACAGTGCCGCCACTGAATATGACCAGGGGCGGAACTACAGTGCCGCCACTGAATATGACCAGGGGCGGAACTACAGTGCCGCCACTGAATATGACCAGGGGCGGAACTACAGTGCCGCCACTGAATATGACCAGGGGCGGAACTACAGTGCCGCCACTGAATATGACCAGGGGCGGAACTACAGTGGCGCCACTGAATATGACCAGGGGCGGAACTACAGTGCCGCCACTGAATATGACCAGGGGCGGAACTACAGTGCCGCCACTGAATATGACCAGGGGCGGAACTACAGTGCCGCCACTGAATATGACCAGGGGCGGAACTACAGTGCCGCCACTGAATATGACCAGGGGCGGAACTACAGTGCCGCCACTGAATATGACCAGGGGCGGAACTACAGTGCCGCCACTGAATATGACCAGGGGCGGAACTACAGTGCCGCCACTGAATATGACCAGGGGCGGAACTACAGTGGCGCCACTGAATATGACCAGGGGCGGAACTACAGTGCCGCCACTGAATATGACCAGGGGCGGAACTACAGTGCCGCCACTGAATATGACCAGGGGCGGAACTACAGTGCCGCCACTGAATATGACCAGGGGCGGAACTACAGTGCCGCCACTGAATATGACCTGTTCAGTGATAACATTAATAACGGTTATTATTATGTAGTATTTATAATTGTAATAATAGTATAATAATTAATAATAATAATTTTCATTATTATTATTATTATTAAACTTATCTTTGCATTACTGTTTTTGTTTATATGTTCCTGTAATACGTTATGCCATTGTTTCACATACATATTTACAAACAAACCTACAACCAAATTTTAATTGTCTTTTTCAGACACGATGGGTAAACCTAGTATTTAAAGCTCAAATGAATTCTGCGGTCAATTGAAAATAAAAACGGAACAAGTATGTCACAACACGTTGAAAATCTGATCACTTAAAATTAATCGACCGAAATCTCAAAAATTACATTATTTAGCTAACGTTGTAAAACAGAATTTTAAAGAAAATAGTTTTATATAGTCTTATATTTGGATTGTCTGTATATTGTGTGTCTTGTTTGCGTGAAAAAAAATTGCTGGGAACAATTTAACTTAAACCAGATTTTAATTTATTTTTTTGTCGACACCAGCCTTTGAACACTAGCCATCACCAGTCCTTCAAGGTCACTAACCAGTCTTTCAAGGTCACTGACCAGCACACACCACTTATCATTCAAGGTCACTGACCAGCACCATCACTTTCCCAAATGGTGTTTCTGTATCTTGATACAGCCTTTACGAGATTTGGATTTCCTGTCTAAAACTGCTCTCCGTGACTTTTATTGACATCTACTTTGATAACTCGAAGCTTGAACAATCTTTGAAAGCTGTAAAACTGTTGGTTGAAGACAGCGTTGAACTTTGAACTTTTCAAATAGACGAAAATGTTAATGGAGGAGTTGAAGGCCTCAAGCAGATGAACAAAGGCCCAGACGACGGTAAAGAGGTTGTGGTAGGTCCGGCCCTTGTTGAACTCTGGCACAAACACCATCACCAACAGCAGCGCCGTGCCCGGCAGGTAGGTCCCCATGAAGGTCACGGCAATCAGCAAGACCATCCGGCTGACCTTCAACTCCTTAGCCGTGGCCGAGCTGGGCTTGACGTCAGCCTTGACCTTCCTCCAGCGTGCATGTCTCTCCAGGCTGACGAGCAGGACGAAGGAGCTGAGGAGGACGACGAAGAAGGAGAGGTAGGTGAGAATGATGTTGATGGAGATGACAGTGTTGTAGATGTCGTTACGTTCTGACGTGAAGTCCAGGCCCAGCAGAGTCTTGTTGCGGTCAGGGTACCACTGCCAGCTGAGGCCTGTCGTTACGTAGATGGGCGGCATGATGAGGAAGATGAGGAGAAAGATGGAGGCGTTGATGAATATTGAGCGGCCTCTGGTGAAGATGGCCTTGACCCTGAGCGGGAGGGCGATACACAGGCAGCGCTCGAGCGTGACGAAGGCCGTGACCCAACTAGTGACCCGGGCCAGGTAAATCTTGGGCCAGCCGCCCGTCAGGTACACCAGCGACCAGGTGTCAAAGGTCACGTCCGAGTAGGTGAACCAGGGGTTGTAGCACACCCCCATCCAGAGGAGCACTAGCAGACTGACCAGGTCGGAGATGGTCAGCGCCACCAGCCAGACGTTGACGCTGTCATGGCAACCGATGCGCGAGAAGACGGAGAGACTGACGACGTTGGAGATTATCCCCACCAGACTGAAGAGCTCGTACATGGCGCACTTGAGCACGACAAACCAGAGCATGCGCACACTGTCCTCGATAAACTTGTTCACCTGGGTGGGTGCTGTGGTCAGCCGCTGGTCCGTCAGGTTTCTGTAGGTTCCAGAGCTGGACATGTCGCTCAAGGTATCCATGGCTCTAACAATATGGCCGTCTTATACTTTCACGTAGACAGGTCAAGGCCGCTTTATTTACAAGTAGGAATAGGTGAACTCGTTTAATTGTTTCAAACTATCTCACAACTGTTTTTATTTTGTAATCTTTGATATAGTTTCTTAGCTCTTACATGTTTTACGATTCATCCTTCCTTCGTTGTTTCTGAGTGTTGTTATTGGATTGTGTACTAGCACTGTGTACTAACATTGTGTACTAGCACTGTGTACTAACATTGTGTACTAACATTGTATACTAGCATTGTGTACTAAGATTGGCGGTCTCCTGTTGTTTAAGATCGTGTGCTGACGATGTCCGATGTAGGGACTGACCCCACCTGAACTAGACCCGAGGACACACCCTCACAGACAACGTTACATGCGTCATATGAGATAAAAGTTTTATTGGAGTAATGTGCCAGCCACCCACCAGGGTACCTAACTCACGTTAGGGAAACTAAGGCAGTTTTGCATAGTGCTGACCACATTATCCACCAGTATGCCGAGGTAATTGAAACAGAGGAACTCTACTTCATCTGCCCAAATGTCTTGGGCACAAACAGGAAAAGACGATAATTTTTTCTTGGTTCTAAAAGTTGCAGACAGTTGTCTTGTTGATATTACTTGATGACAACATTTTCATGGCGCTAAGTTCTGCAGGCACACGATTTAATCAATGTTGCCAACGTTTCTATAAATTAACGTTTTTAATTCTTGAAACCAGGACTTAGAGCAGTAAAATGTTGTTGACGATTGAGTTGAAGCTATCCTTACTATCGCGGCTAGTCTTTACAAAATGTTCTTGACGATTTAGTTGAAGCTATCCTTACTATCGCGGCTAGGTTTTACAAAATGTTGTTGACGATTTAGTTGAAGCTATCCTTACTATCGCGGCTAGTCTTTACAAAATGTTCTTGACGATTTAGTTGAAGCTATCCTTACTATCGCGGCTAGGTTTTACAAAATGTTGTTGACGATTGAGTTGAAGCTATCCTTACTATCCCGGCTAGGTTTTACAAAATGTTGTTGACGATTGAGTTGAAGCTATCCTTACTATCCCGGCTAGGTTTTACAAAATGTTGTTGACGATTGAGTTGAAGCTATCCTTACTATCGCGGATAGTCTTTACACAATGTTTTTACTCTGATCCCCTCAATGATGACGTAATGTTGTCAAATTGTGCCATTCGTCAGCCCTACACATCTTTTGATGACGTCATATGCACAGTTCCACTGTCTTGTTGCAGGTCATACAACTTTATAACAGTAGTTTGGTTCAGGGGAATGTTTTTAAAATCTAAATATTTAATTAGACCTAATTAAAATTAAAGTATACTAGACTGCTGCGATTGTTCAAAAATTAGCATCACTAATTATTTAAATAAGATGGTGGTGTGACGCTACAAATTATTTTAATTGATGTCTGCTTGTTAGGCGAAGACCATGTACAGACAGCAAACAGCAACACCACCATTTTTATCAACAAAAACAGATGGTTAAATGTAAATTATGTTGCTAAAGTACCCCTAGTCGTTTATTTTGTTGTGGTGAATACTTCAATAGTAATAGTTCAGTCTTCAAACCGTTGATTAAGAAAATCTAATTATTGTGATTTAAATTTAATCATTATAAAAATGTAGCTCTGACAGATTTTTTAATTGGTTACAACAACGCGCCTCGCTATTATAGTTGAAAAAGTCAATTCTTAAATTAAAGAGGTTGTGGTAGGTCCGGCCCTTGTTGAACTCTGGCACAAACACCATCACCAACAGCAGCGCCGTGCCCGGCAGGTAGGTCCCCATGAAGGTCACGGCAATCAGCAAGACCATCCGGCTGACCTTCAACTCCTTAGCCGTGGCCGAGCTGGGCTTGACGTCAGCCTTGACCTTCCTCCAGCGTGCATGTCTCTCCAGGCTGACGAGCAGGACGAAGGAGCTGAGGAGGACGACGAAGAAGGAGAGGTAGGTGAGAATGATGTTGATGGAGATGACAGTGTTGTAGATGTCGTTACGTTCTGACGTGAAGTCCAGGCCCAGCAGAGTCTTGTTGCGGTCAGGGTACCACTGCCAGCTGAGGCCTGTCGTTACGTAGATGGGCGGCATGATGAGGAAGATGAGGAGAAAGATGGAGGCGTTGATGAATATTGAGCGGCCTCTGGTGAAGATGGCCTTGACCCTGAGCGGGAGGGCGATACACAGGCAGCGCTCGAGCGTGACGAAGGCCGTGACCCAACTAGTGACCCGGGCCAGGTAAATCTTGGGCCAGCCGCCCGTCAGGTACACCAGCGACCAGGTGTCAAAGGTCACGTCCGAGTAGGTGAACCAGGGGTTGTAGCACACCCCCATCCAGAGGAGCACTAGCAGACTGACCAGGTCGGAGATGGTCAGCGCCACCAGCCAGACGTTGACGCTGTCATGGCAACCGATGCGCGAGAAGACGGAGAGACTGACGACGTTGGAAATTATCCCCACCAGACTGAAGAGCTCGTACATGGCGCACTTGAGCACGACAAACCAGAGCATGCGCACACTGTCCTCGATAAACTTGTTCACCTGGGTGGGTGCTGTGGTCAGCCGCTGGTCCGTCAGGTTTCTGTAGGTTCCAGAGCTGGACATGAGTAGTATATTAGGTCCCTTTTGGGTATCATGGGTGAGCAGGAGCAGGAGCAGGAGCAGGAGCAGGAGCAGGAACAAAGGCTATATAGGAAAATACTCCCTGCCTGGGTGAGCCGCAGGAACAATGACATATAGCAAAATACTCACCCACCAGGGTGAATGGGTGAGCCGCAGGGACAATGACATATAGTAAAATACTCCCTGGGTGAGCAGGAGGTACACCGACATATAGTAAAATACTCACCCACCTGGGTGAGGGTGGGTGAGCCGCAGGGACAATGACATATAGTAAAATACTCACCCACCTGGGTGAAGGTGGGTGAGGGTGGGTGAGCCGCAGGGACAATGAGATATAGTAAAATACTCACCCACCCTAGGGTGGGTGATGCGGATGCGGAGTAGGTCAGTAGGTCACCACCGGTGACCTTGTGACGTAATTAGTAACATTATGACGTAATCATTGACCTAGTTACGTAATTTTAATGCGTTTTTTAATTAGTTTTAATGAGTTTTTTAAATTTTAATTAATTTTTGACCTAGTTACGTAATTTTAATGCGTTTTTTAATTAGTTTTAATGAGTTTTTTAAATTTTAATTAATTTTTGACCTAGTTACGTAATTTTATTGTTTTTTAATTAATTTGATTTTAATTACTTTGTTTGTGTTTTGTTTGTTTATTTTTAATAAGTTTAATTAATTCGATTTTTTTATTTATTTTGTATTTGTTTGATTTTAACTTTTTAATTATTTTTATTTTGTTTATTTTTAATTTAATTATTTTATTTTTAATAAGTTTAATTAATTTGATTTTTATTTATTTTGTATCTAGTTACGTAATTTTAATTTTATTTTATAATTAGTTTGAATTTTTATTGACTAGTTATGTAATTTAATTACTTTGATTGTTTAATTAGTTTGTTTACTTGTTGTTTAATTTAATTACTTTGTTTATATTGTGTAATTTTTATTAACGAGTTACGTAATTTGCTTATTTGTTTGAAATTCATTTTAATTAATTTTGATTTTAATTACTTTGTTTAATTTATTTATTTGATATATTTCTTTTCTTTGTTGTTTAATTTGTTGGTTTGTTTATTTGGTTGTATATATGTTTTAAATTCTCCCCTACAACGACCGTGTACAAAAAACAGGTTAAATTCTCCACCACAACGAACGTTACAAACATAGAACATCCATTAAAGATAACGATCAGCCACAGCTGTTACGTATCGACCCGCCCGCGAAGTTTTCTCACCGCTGCCCGTTTTAATGGGAATGTATTGATCGCAGCCGCTGGCCCATCACACCTAATTAAATTTTGTTATGCTTCACCGAGTTTCCCCGCTCGATTTGACGGGTCATGGTGATTTATGTGGGTTCGCGAAGCGATCCCACCGGGGGGGGGGTATGGTAATTAACGCAAAGCCAGCGTTAAGTGTGGGAACACCTGTTACCACGTTAATCGATTTTACCGATCGCTTTGTTAGCTCCGCGAAGTACGTAGGTCATTATGCAACAGCTGTTGTGCGACAGCTGGTGCTGTAACTAGGCTGTCCAACCGTATAAATGACCGCAAAAATTGTGTTCTAAACACTTCAACTTCGGACTTCAAACCAAGCGTCACAGCGACTTATCCAGCCTGAGACCTCTGTTGACTCCTGAGACTAACCCACACCAGCTTTACCAATCATCACATCTACCTAACCCTATACGGACCACATCTTTTGTGGGTGTTTATTCTATTAAAGGTAAGGTTAATAGTATGTATTGTTTAAAAGGTGCTAACCCCTTTTAATTAATCCTTTTTCTAAATACGTAGTCACAGGTATTTACTTTAATTTTGTATCATACACCGAGGTAAGGTGAATAGTACGTTTATTTTAAGGGAACTAACCCCATTAAAATACCATTTAAATAATTATGTATCTAAATAAGTAGTCACTGTATTCCTTTTTTAGTGTACAACCGACCCTACGAGATAGACTAACCACCCACTGACCCTATTGAGCTACCTACCCATCCCTGCGGAATCCACTGAACCAAACGTTCCAACTACAACCAACTACACCACTGCGGATCTCCACATACAGTTAACTACACGTTCAGCTTAGACGTTCAAGCCAACCCGTAGGTACGTTTCAATTTTAATTTTGTTTTAAGTCTGTATTTTATTTTATTTATTTATTTATTTATTTATTTTTTTTTTATTTTTAATTTATTTATTTTTATTTTTATTTTATTTTATGTATTTACTTTAATCTTTATTTTTATTCTACAGCCACCGATCTACCCAAGCACCCATCTAATCCACACACTAGACACTTCGTCAATAATGGAAGCCGCCCAACCTACCAACCACCCAGCCATG